AACTAGAAGTTTAGCTCAACAGGTAAAGAATGCCATCCTTGAGTATAGTACTCTTTTAAAAAATTGTCTGTGTAAGACCAGATGGACAACAGTTACGCTAAAACATAAAAAATTGGGGGGACAGTGAGTCTAAGTTAACAGGATTAACACAATTAGAACAGAAATGAGAATACAGACAGAATGTGTAAATGCCACCAATATCACTGAACATTATGTGCGGAAATTGATGAATGGGAGTGTGTTTTGCTCTGTATATTGCATATATTTTCACCAAAAAACCTGTCTTAGCCAGATGCTCCACTAGAAAGCAGCTAATTGACAACTTTGTACTTGCATTGTTTTGGTTATCTAGTACCGCTCTGACAAGAATATACCACTAAATGGAATGCTTTAACAAACAGGAGACTAGAGGTCTGAGTTCAAAGTGCCACGCTGTAGGTGCTGGGTAAAAGCCCCCCAGCCTTGGCCTTCAGCTCTGCCTCTTGCTCCAGGCCCACTGAAGCTAGAGGTTTCTCGTCACTCAGGTAGCTGCTGGCTGCTGAGACTGACAAACCCAAGGTCATAAGTAAAAAGGAACAGTCCTGATATTGCCAAACCACACAGCAGGCCACTGATTCAAGTCCATTAAAAGTCCCAAGATTGGAAGAGCATGGCAGGCTGCTGAATGAAAGACTAAGCTACATGCCGAGTCCAAGCATGCCGAAAAGCTGTAGACCATCCCCAAAGCTTCTCCTTATGTATGGGAAGCAGACAACATGTCTAAAACAGCTACTCAGCTGTTTGAATTAGATTCTACCATGGAGTTGATTGCCAGTCTCATCGTGGAGAATAACTACCACCAGCTGCCCAGTCTCTCAAAACCCAGGCCCAGCCAAGTTGACATATAACCTTAACTAAGGTTCCAAACCATAAATTACAGAAGTAAATATCTAATGGGAACAGTTCAGATACTAGAGTTAAGCCAGTTGTAGAGACAAAGAATGTCACATCAGTGACCCTTAGTTTAGATGACAATCAATTTCTCCAACTGATAAGGCCAATCATAGATGGTAATGAATGACTCTAAGAGCACAATCCCTTTCTGTATCTGCAAAAAGAGTCTTCTATTAGTTCTGTGTCATTCTAGTAATGCACTATGTTAACGTAGTGCCTAAGGCACTTGACCGCTAACCAGAAGGCTGGCGGTTCAAACCCACCAGCCACTCCTCGGAAGGAAGGTTGGGCAATCTACTTCTGTAGTGATACTTCCTGGGAAACCCAATGAGGGGTTGCTATGAGTCGGATCCGACTTGACAGCAAATAACAACAACAACAAAAGCAACCTTAAAGTGCACTGATCTGTACTCAAGGGTTTATAACCACCCCTCATTCCTCTCTATGACCTTCCTTCACTTCACTTTGATGGCTTCTTCTATTCTTCCATATAACCAACATAAAACATCAGAAGCAGAAACAAGTTGATTGTTCATTCATAATAGAGGGGAAGGGGCCCCTATGCACAAGTCAAGAAATAGTTTGGGATTTATACTCTCACTGACTTACTGAGTACCATGATCAAGTCCAGAAAGATTTCAGGGCCTCAACATCATTGCCTCTATAATAAAGGGATAAAACAAGATGACTTCTGACAAATCCAACATCTATAGAATTCAGTGGTTCTGTAGTATAGATGAAGGCAAAAGAACAGAGAGATAAACAGCCTGCTAAGTAAAAGCCACATGTGACTAAACAAATTTCCTTTTCTAATGGCTAATGAACCAGAAGATATTGAGAATGCTTTAAAACTCCTAGCATAATTCAGAGAGAAATGTGGAGAGTTTGTAATGTGACTTGGTCACAATATATCTGGTTGAATATCCAAGTGAAAAACATTGATTAGAGAATCTATGTTTATCAAAAAGGATATTTTTCCAAATTGTATTAAGGGACAATAATAGTTGTGCAAGACACCAATAAGAATTGCATTTTCAAGGGGTTGAGCCCTTGATTGACTGGAGTTAATTACTCACTTCCAAAAAAACAGAACATGAAAAGGGCGTAATAATAACTTAATAGTGGAGAAATCTGGCTAACACCACTTTACCAAGTGATCAGGGTTAACATCACCAGTGATGGATCATGTTGATGTCAGGTGTGGCCACACACACATAAGATAAGATCACTTCACCTTGTGGTATCTCCCTAACCCCAGGGTAATCATGTGAAAATACATCAGGCATACACAGTTTGACAGATATTCCACAAAATACCTGACCATTACACCTCAAAACTCTCAAGGTTATAAAAAACTAGGAAAGATTAAGAAACTGTCACAGACAAGCCATGACAACCAAATGCAATGTGGTATTCTGGACTGGATCCTGGAACAGAAAAAATACATTAATGGAAAATTGGTGATAAAAAGCCTAAAGTTCAATTTACAGTAATATGCAATGTTTATTTCTTGCATTTGACAAATGTGCCATTGTAATGTGATTATTTAAGATTATGGAAAACTGAAATTCATTGAAGGGTATACTGGACTCCCCTGTACTATTTGTACAACTTTTCCATGAATCCAAAATTATTGAAAATAAAGTGTTTATTTTAAAAATATGAGGAAGGGCTCTACTAATAGATTTGAGGAATTTTGGGCTGAACAGTTGTATGTCTCAATGCTTATAATACTCAGAGCTCCTGGGATACCTAACATGCACTGTGACTCTAAAAGAGGGGATGTAGAGTACTGAATTTCCCAAATATATCTAGCTAGGAGATTTTTCTATTTCTTCAAAAAACATATTTTAGGTAAATGCTTATGTAAAGAAGATGTCTCCCAATAAGTCATATATTTGTGACACGAGTCCTATACTCAGCCACATCCAAATTTTAATCAGCAACTTTGGCTGAAAGATAAATCTGTCATGGACATTACATTTGCAAAGACTTGAAACTGGAGGATAATATGATAAGTAAGAGAATCAGCATTAAAATGATATTTAATAAGTTGCATCAATTGTCTAGTAGCATAGTGCCTAAGGCACTTAACTGCTAACCAGAAGGCTGGCGGTTCAAACCCACCAGCCACTCCTCAGAAGGAAGGTTGCATGATCTACTTCCGTAGTGATACTGCCTTGGCAACCCAAGGAGGGGTCGCTATGAGTCGGGTCCGACTTGATGGCACCTAACAACAACAACAACAAGTGAAATGAGTATAAAAGTTTAGATATATAGTCTACTTTTAGGAGCGCTGGTTGTGTAGTGGGTAAGCATCTGGTTGCTAAACAAAGGGTTGGTGGTTCAAATCCCCCAGCTGCTCCATGGTAGGAAGATGAGGCAATCTATTTCTGTAAAGATTTACAGCCTTGGAAACCCAGTGGGGGTTGCTATAGGTCGGAATCAACTTGATGGCAGTGGGTGGTTTTTAGGTAAATAAGAAAAACGGAAAAATTGATCATGGAAGTACAGGATGAGGAAGAATAGACTTAAACTCCATCATGTAACTATGACCTGTTTTGTGTCTTAGGAGTTCTCAGGTAGAATTAATAGAGCTGTTGTGCCCAGTGAAGAGGACTCAGTAGTAGTAGTAGTAAGAATATATCTACAGAATTTTTTGTTCAGTTTTATTTGCTATATTATAAAAGGTCCTCAATGAATCATTTCCAAAAGAGAGGGAACAAGATGGTGTGTGTCTCAGAAATCATGTCATATCAAGAAATGTTGAATAAACAGGATATTTTTATTTTGATGAACACAGGCCTTAAGGTGATTTGACAGTGGCCCTTAAGTACACATGGATACAAGAAGGATCCAAACTTATTCCTGTAACTTCAGAAACCAGAAGAAGGATCTAAGGCAGTAGGAGGAGATTTAGCTCAATACCATCTTTGTATCTATTAGAACTGCCTCGTAATGGAACGGACATCAGTGACAGAAAGTAAGCTTCCTGCCTCTGAGACAAAGGCTTGGATGTTCACATGTCTAGATTGCTGTCAGAATGTCTTCTGCATTGCTCGTAATAAATGACTTCTATACAGCCTTCTAGTGCTAAGATCTCTGAATCTATGAATCCACAGGGAGAGAAAAAAAAAAGAGAAGCCATTGAAACACTTCCCTAAGGTTCCTTAGACACTACTCTACCTTCCTTCCAAGCAATCATCATCCCTGAAATTGGATCTGGAAACTTCTTGAACAAGTGTTACAGTTTAGTTGGAGACGCAGAGGCAAAATGCCACCTCTGAGCATGCACCTGTGAGATTTCTGACATCAGGGGAAAATTACCCAATAAGTAAGGTAAGCACAGGCTTGCTTGCGCTTACTTACTAATCAGTAGTGAAAATTTTCACATGGGCTTACCCACGTGGTGAAAAACATGTGACACTGTTCACTATAGATTAGTAACTAAGCACAAGTAAGCCTGTGCTTATCTGTCTTATTGGGTAATCCGTCACTGGGTATAATCTAATTTTTTTTTTTAAATAAACTAAACCCACTGCCATGGAGTCCATTCAACTACTAGCAACGCTTGGGTTCCCGAGGAGGTATCACTAAGAAAGTAGATCCCCTGATCGTCCTCTGACGAGTGGCTGGTGGGTTTGAACTGCCAGCTTCTGGTTAGCAGTCAAGTGCCTTAGGCACAGAGAGAGAGAGAGAGAGAGACAGACTATATAACCAACTTCAGAGCTTGCTTCAAATCTGCTCAACACTTGAAGAGGCAGAACTCTCAGGGTGCTGTAAGAGTCTTCAAAGTCAGGCCCTAAGAGTTAACTGCCTCTTTAAATGTTGCGTTATAGGCTCCTCCCTTAACTCTACCTAGTTCCAGCCCAGTGATTGGTCAGGCTGTCAAGGCCACGCCCTGAGGCCACATGGCATAATAGTTCCTTAGGCAACCATTGTTGTGACTACCTTGAGTGGGTGCTACTAACTGCCCATACCAGAGCCTGCTTAGCAAGAAACACCTCAGCCGGATCTACCAACCAGATGTAAGCAGAGGGCCTGCGCCAACTTGGCCACGACTCGCAATGTCTCGGGCCACGGGGCAGAAGCAGACGTTGCCTAATCAAAGCGGTCCTGAGGCCCGCAGAGATGGCTGGGGTACGAGAAACAGCAACTGGAGCAGATCATCTCCCTACCTGGAGCCTGGGGCTTCTGGCTCCCGTGACCCACCTCTCTGCTTTCACATGAGAAACGATCTGATCGGCATTGTGATTGGTCGCGGTGGATCAAAAATCAAAGATATTCAAGGTACAACAAATACGCGAATACACATAGTAAGAGGTGATACTGAAGCAGAAGTAAAAATTTTTGGCAGCCAGATCATGAAAGCAAAGGCTAAGTCAATTATAGAAACTCTTATTAAAAAACAAGAAGAAACTCACAATTTAGAACAGGATGCTAATAATATTACTGCCCACTCTTCTGCTGGGAAAGATTCAAGTACAGATACGATCAGTAGAGAAGTTAAGCCATTTATAGATTGGGATCAGGTTCGTGCAGAATTTGTCCAGTGGGAGAGCAAAAAGTGGGCAGATTTACCACCAATTAAGAAGAACTTTTACATAGAATCTATACCAACGTCTTCAATGTCACAAATCCAAGTAGATAACTGGAGACGTGACAATTTCAATGTCATGTGCGATGACTTGAAAGATGGCGAGAAACGTCCTAATCCCAATCCAACTTGTACCTTTGAAGATGCCTTTCAAAATTACCCTGAAATTATGCACAGCCTTAAAAAAGCAGGGTTTATAAAGCCAACACCAATCCAAGCACAAGCATGGCCAATTGTTTTACAAGGAATAGATCTCATAGGCGTTGCCCAAACCGGAACCGGCAAAACATTGTCCTATCTAATGCCTGGGTTTATTCATCTCGATTCTCAACCAATAGCTAGAGACAAAAGGAAGGGACCTGGCATGTTGATCCTTACACCAACCAGAGAATTAGCTCTACAGGTAGAAGCTGAATGTTTTAAGTATTTGTATAAAGGTCTTAAAAGTCTTTGTATATATGGTGGTGGGAATAGAGAAGCACAAATACATGACATTGCCAACGGTGTAGATATCATTATTGCAACTCCTGCACGACTAAATGATCTGCAAATGAGTAACTCTGTCAATCTCAAAAGCATAACCTATTTGGTGTTAGATGAGGCAGATAAAATGCTTGATTTGGGGTTTAAATCCCAGATAATAAAGATTTTATTAGATGTGCGCCCAGATAGGCAAACAGTTATGACCAGTGCTACTTGGCCGGATAGTGTTCGTCAACTTGCAAAATCTTATTTGAGAGAGCCTATGATTGTATATGTAGGAACTCTGGATCTAGTTGCAGTAAATACAGTACAGCAAAATATAATTGTTACCACAGAAGAAGAAAAACGATCTCTTATCCAAAAGTTTCTGGAAAGTATGTCACCCAAAGACAAAGTCATCGTATTTGTCAGCAGAAAACTTATTGCTGATGACTTGTCAAGTGATTTAAGTATCCAAGGTATGCATGTACAGTCACTGCATTGTAACAGAGACCAGTGTGATCGAGAAGAAGCATTAGATGATTTTAAAAGTGGAAAAGTGAAAATACTGATCACTACTGATTTAGTATCCCGTGGTCTTGACATTCAAGATGTCACACACGTATACAACTATGATTTCCCACAGAATATTGAAGAATATGTCCACAGAGTGGGACGTACTGGAAGAGCAGGGAGGACTGGCATATCAATTACCCTTATCACTCAAGATGATTTCAAGATTGCCCCTGAACTGATTAAAATTCTGGAAAGAACAAATCAGGTTGTCCCAGAAGAGCTTGTGACAATGGCTAAAAGAGTCAAGGAACATAAACTAAAAAAGGGGACAGAAAAAAAATCCAAAAAATCTCAAAGAAAATCTGAGAAGTTGTATTGATAACTCCATTGAAATATTGCACCAGGCTACTAAAAGATTCAAGATTTGTTAAAGATATGCAGTATTTAAGATACATACGCACTTATTGAAAACATACTGGCAACTTGAAGAGACGTGATCAGGTCTTAAAATAATACTGTTAAGCATCTGATGTCATGGAGTTCTTTAATAAAGTTAAAAGCATTTTACTTGAATGTTATGTGTTTAAAGTTTTGTTTCATCTATAAGCCTGCCTTGTCCATTTGCGTCGGCCCTAAAATACTTAGTAGAAGACAATGATGGTACTATTCCTGCTTAAAAATAGTTATGCTGAATAGAAGCAGATTTTTTCATTTTTATCCCTGTCAAAAAATTCTCTCCTCCAGTTGTTGGCGCCACAACAATTCCTAAAATCTTCTCCATTATCATCCTCTATTTCTTTTCAGTTCCTCAGAAATTCTGAAGCTTACAGAGTATTTCACAGTTCTATTTTATCAAATAGATGTGACCAACAGAGCGTAATGCCTGATCCACTGAGAATCAGACCTTCATATGAACTCTATCACTAACCATTAATTAAAAATTCTGGGGAGGTCACTTGCCTTCTCTGGCCTCAATTTCTGTCCTCTAAAAATGGAATGGTTATATTCCTTCTCCTTTAAAATTCTGTGATGGTATAACCAAACTTGCATACCCCAGTCTATTAATATACTATTTTCCAGTCTATGTAAAAATCACATCTTTGGTTAATAAATTGAAGAAAGAGACCTTTTTAAATGGCCAGAACAGTGCATTCTGTATTTTTATTGATTTTTGTACAGTGACTCACAGGCTGTCTCTTTATTCTTTGCTTTCTTTTCATCATATTTTATTTTCAATTCAGTTTGTCTTCCAAAGGTCAAACCCACACATACACATCAGAATGTATATGTATAAGTATGAATGTGAAAGAAAAACATATTTTACCTACTGGGGAAGACATATTAGAAACTCAAACAACACTTTTGTCATAAGAAACCATTTAAATAAAATTCCTCCTAATTTTATTTGTAATTCTATCTCCTATGCTTCAGAAGCAAGGTGCATTTCACAACTGCAAAAAGAAATTCTCATAATGATGTTAAACAAACCTTAAAATTCAGTAATCATGAGAGCATTTGGGTTGGTCAAGACTTAAAATTTCTGGCAAAATGAAGAGAAAAATTAATGCAACAATCCTTTTTCCAGCATGACTCAGCTGTGATTATAACAAATATGTCAGAAATTAAGGGAAATATATATACATTCTAGGTATTTGAAGTTTTAAAGTCTGGCTTTAAAGGCTCTTTATATAGGCCTCAATATCTCTTGATACAATTAATGTTATTGAGTAAAATTAACGGTTCCAATTTTTGAGTGGTTGATACATACCAGGTACTTTATTTCATTATCCCTAATATTTATAAGAAACCCCCTCAGAGGGTCATCTTACCTCCATTTTGCAGATGATGAAACAAGATCAGAGGAGCTAACTTGCTTAAGGCCAACAGATCTGGTTAAAGAGGGATGAAACTGGTATTTTAAACCAGATGTGTCTCATTCCAACATTTACATTCTTTTTGTTTCAAGACAGTTACTATGTTCAAGACAATATGCTGTCTTAAAGTTGCTCGAAAGGTTGGATTTAGTGAGAGAGAGATGCATGTACAAATTTACTCTTATGTAAAGGCAGTGTGTGGTGGAACCTGTCACAGAAGTTCAAATGGCCTGTTCCTGTTCATTCAGAGAAGAAATGATTAATGTTTAGCAAGTTGGGGTATATGTTATTTGCCAAAATTCCTCTTAGGGGCAATGTTATATTTGTTAGGGGAAAAAAATGCAATAATTAAACCACTTGAGATATAAGGTGAGGTTCCTCATTCATGTTCAGGTAACAAAAATGATCATTCAATGTTTACAAATAAGAAAAGGAGAAAAAAGTGCATTTCTTCTAAAAGAGAAAGGTGAAAAGAAGTGCTACTGCCTGTGGAAATGTAAGTAGCAACAGAGTAAGGGCTCTCAACTGGGGCTAATTTTGCTCCCAGGGACATTTGGTAATACCTGGAGACAGTTTAGGTTGGGTGTAGGAGAAGGGAAAGGGACGCTACAGGCATCTAGTAGGTAGAAGCCAGCGATGCTGCAAAACCTCCTACAAAGTACAGAGCATCCTGGCACAACAAAGAATTATCCATTCCACCATGTCAATAGTGCCTAGATGAAGAATCCCCGAGAGAGCATGAGTAAAACAAACATCAAAACCCCAAATCAGTTGCATAGCAACCAAGAAGGGGCTTCAAGGGGAGAAGAAAAATAGAGGATTTAAAATTATTTCCTGTGGGCTGTACAGAATGAAACCCTCCATTCTTCCTGTCTTCAGTATAGTCTGAATAAGTGGTTCTCAACCAGTGCTAATTTTGCCAATGTCTGGAGGTCTATGTGATTGTCACAACTGGAGAGGAGGGGTGGAGTGCTATTCGCATCTCCTAGTAGAGGTCAGTTGTGGTTGTTGTTATGTGCCATCGAGTCAGACCCGACTCATAGCGCCCCCTCCTTGGGTTTGCGAGGCAGTATCACTACAGAAGTAGATTGCCCCATTTTCCTTCTGAGGAGTGGCTGGTGGGTTTTGAACCACCAGCCTTCTGGTTAGCAGTCAAGTGCCTTAGGCACTATGCTACCAGAGCTCCTACCAGAGTAGGAGCTACCAGAGTAGAGGTCAGAGGTGCTGCTAAACATCCCATAATGTATACGATAGCCTCCTCCCAACAAAGAAGGATCCAGCCCAAATGTTAGTAGTGCAGTAGTGAGGTGGTTGAAAAACCTTTCCCACCACCTCCCCCAAAAAGCAAATTGCATAGAAACCATGAAGAGATGGTCTTGGGCATAATCTCTATCAATGCTTCTCAAGCTGAGTTGATTTCGTCCAGGGGGTGGGGGGCATTTGTTAATGCCTAGAGACATTTTTTGTTGTCACAACTGGGGAGAAGGGGAAAACTGCTAATGGCATCTACAAGGTAGAGTCAGGTATGCTGCTAAACATCCTATAATACACAGGACAATATCCTAGAACAATGAATTTTTTGGCTCAGAATGTCAATGGTGTGGAAGTCAAGAAACCTTGGTCTGCATTGATCAATAAAATGTTTGTTTAAGTGAATTTTTAATTTTTTTTTTTACAGAAACTCAAGTACTGAGTTTTGTATTTCAATTGAAAGAGAATGAAAGCAGTGTACTGAGCATGCACTGACACAGGAGTCAAAGAATGGGGATTCAGCTGACATCAGTTATTCCTATACAATGCTTAGCATGGTGCCTCATGTTAGGCACTCAGCAGACACAGTTGTCCCTCCATATCTGCATGAGATTGGTTCCAGGACACCCTTCCCCATACCAAAATCCATGACCTAGTATTTGCACATAACTTATGCACATCCTCTCCTATACTTTAAGTCATCTCTAGATTACTTATAATACCTAATTAAATGTAAAACTCCAAACCCATTGCCATCTTGCTGATTCTTACTCACAGGAACCTTAGAGAACAGGGCAGAACTGTCTCCATGGGGATTCCAAGGTTGTAAATCCTTACAGAAGCAGACTGCCACGTCTTTCTCTGCAGAGTGGCTAGTGGGTTTGAACCACTGACCTCTTGGCTATCAGCTAGAGTGTTTAAA